GAGCAGGACAGTCCTCACATCCTTTGTTTAATATTGTTAATAGTAGTACCATATAAGATAGAAGAATATATATGAATATGTGGTGAATGCCTTCCTTATAACTGTTCCTTATAACTGACCCATCCTTGGGTCACCTGAAGGAAAATTTCTGCTCACTTTTTTTGTTGTTTAGGCAGCACATATGCTTTTCCTCATTAGTGACTTAAAACAACTCAACATTCAGTGTTGGGACCAAACTATGTCAGGAGATAAACTTCCCGTGGATTTTATGCTGTAGTGTAGTACTATCCACTAGAAATGTCTTAAGTCGGATGCAGGTGCTTTTCTGTGGTGTTTGTTTTGAGGTTTAGGTTTTCCTAACTTTTTCTTCGATGTTCTTTTTCATGTAGGGTAGTTTGGAGGATTATGAAGAAACAGTAAAGAAGGCTAAAGAGGCATGGAAGATCTGGGCGGATGTAAGTTAACAGAGACTTCTCTTTTATAACCTATCTCCGGCAGATAAAGGCCATTAAATTGCCATGTCAGGTGGAGGTGTGAAAGAGTGTTCGTATTATGAATGTTGCATTAAAGCAAAAATCTGCAATGAGGACCTCAAGAAACAAACTCAGACAACTTGCAAACGTTACCATTGAGGTACAAAGATGAGGACATTGACTTGTGGCAAATGTTTGTTTTGAAAAGCTTGGTAAATTTGCCTATGTTTGTGCCTGTAAGCCGTTGCCAACAGGTCTGCTGAAGTTCAGAAGCCTTGCAGCAAGCAAAGCCCTGTGGGTGTGTTTAACTTCGTGTTGCCACATGCTTTCTCCTGCGAGAACTCTGCAGCATATTTGGATAGCTAACTTCTGGTGACAATCTTGCTCTCATGGGGTGAGGATGGCTGCTTGTTTGAAGTGTACTTTTTTTGTTCACCAACTGTCCTGATATTTCACAAAACAGCTACGTTACTGCAAAATTTTAGTGTTATTCCTGTGTCAGACAGTAACTAAGCTATTTTTCCTTAGGAAGCTGTAGTTCTCGGTGTCTCTGTACAAGCTATGTTCAGCCAGCATCCATTCTCTTGCTGGCCATGCCAGGCTTGGTTTTTATAGCTACCTGCAGTTTCTTTGACACAAGTTGAAACCTGAATTTCATTAAGGTATTGGATGTTCTGTATTTTATCCAGCAAAGTAGTTTGCCTTGCCTGAAGAGAACAAAGTTTACGACAAATACAACAGCTTCCTTGACTTCCTCAGGATATGTTAGTACATGTTCTTTTGTTACAATTTGTGAATATGATGTTAGTGAGTACCTGCCAGCTTCTAAAGTGTTTGGAAATAATCTGAAAGCAATCTAACAGATAAAGAAGAATCAACAGATCAAATACTTTAAAGCCTCGTCTCAAAGCTGTTTGGTTTTAGTTTGTGAATTTTGTTGCTCTTAATGAGCTTATCTGAAAGATTTTGCCTGTAAAGAGACATGCTTGCATAGTTTGTGTATTTGTCACTTCTGTCTTTCCAGTTGCCTGTTCATCGGCAGTTTCTAATCCTGTAAATCCTGTTGCATGCGTATGGTTTATTATTGATCCTGGCTATTGATTATTATCTAACATACTGGTACCACATTAAAAAAAATAATTTGGTATATGGGTTTAATTTTTCTGTGATTGAAGCTTCTGTGTGTCTCAGCATCTGCTAACAAAATAAATATCAGCAGCCGTTGTCATACTGAAAAAAGTTTGAAAACGTGATGTTAAGTACACTTCAACAACTCAGAAACCAGTAAGCGTGCTTTTACAAAAAATACTTGTTTCTTGAGGTGCAGCTGATTGACTGGGGCCTCGTGGGTGGTGTAGCTGAACAGAAGTACTGGAACTAATAATCTGAATGTTTCTGACCATATTTAGTGGAACTGAAGTTTTGAACAGACATAAATGTGTGCAGTGTTATCAGTCTCTCTGAGGCAGCAAGCAGTTTCCTGTAAAGCAGTGTGCATGATAAAAATGAACAAGTAACATCGCCTTGGGAAGATAGGGAGAAAAGCACAGCAGTCAGTGATTTCTTACTGCAGGAGTAGAAAACTAGCGGTAATACGCAGCAGAAGTCACAGATGTCCAATCTCAAATAGATTCTTCTGTTTTCTTTTGTTTCGACTAGATCCCTGCACCTAAGCGTGGAGAAATAGTGCGACAGATTGGTGATGCCCTGAGGCAAAAAATCAAACCTCTGGGAAACTTGGTAAGGTGTTTTAAGAAGCATCTTAACTTCATGAGGAGGTGGTGGTGAGGGGTGTGTGTCAAAACTGTTTTTCTTGGGTTGTAGTGTACCATTCTGCGATACTAACATTAATAATTTTAAAATGCTTTTAGTTCTGTTTAGCTTGCCTAAACAGGGGGGTTGTAACTAGATGATCTTTGAGATCCCTTCCAACCCTAACCATTCTATGATTCTATGAAAAGAGAAAAAAAAAAAAAATTACATTCTGTCATCCTGCGCTGGAAATGATAACATGTAGCAAGAAAAGAAAGTGTAATTCATTCTGAGCCTGTACTCTGGCCAGGAGGGGTGTTACAACTGTTGCCCTCCTGTTTTCTCACTTGCCTGTCAAATAGGGCACTGACTGATACTAAAAGTGTCCTTAGAAAGACCTTCCTCTAATACAGAGCTTTTAACTTTGAGCTCTTTCTGGTGATCTGCAGGATCTTGCGAACTGACCTGTAGAGGTATAAGGCTTCAGAAGGTGAGATGGTCTTAATGAGATCTTCTTGCAGTGCTGTGCAGGACATAAAGGTTGCAGAACTGCTCCTTTAAAACACTCGATAGTTGCTGGGAAAGAAAAGGAGGCAAGTGGGGAACTTACCACTTTCCTTTCACAGGGCTTGCCTATGAGTGCTGCTATTCAGAAAAAGCTGTTGGTGAATAGCTCTATGTGTAGTCAAGCCCATATTGTTAACCTACAAAACTTTGTTCTGCTGTTTCCCTTGATGTTGTCTCCTCAGCAGAGTTCTGTGGTGGAATTAGAGTGCTAACATACCTTTGTATTTGAAAACGGTACAGCTTCCCTAGTGAGTATGGACAGACAGAAGTTTGCTGTATGTTCCTTGGACAAAACTTGTTGCTTATTGCCGGGGCATATTCCTAGTTTTCCCAAACAGATAATAAGTCTGTTCAGCTCTTCCAGGATACGGGGTGAACTTCAGAGGGAAAGCTGTGCAAGTAGGCATCCAGGTTTCAGGACTCTTCCTGGCTTTAGGATATGTGAAAAGGAACGGTATGGCAACTCACCTTTTCATATGCTGTTGGCAGTTTCCAGCCTCGCCTCCCAATGTCTTTGTCAAGTACCCAAATCTATCTCTACTGCGCTTACAGACTCACCACTGTATTTCTTAGTTGATATGCCTGATGCCCCTCCATTTCTGGTCATAGATAGGGACTATTCCTTCTGCCTCAAGATGACCACTGGCATCACAGAAATACCTAGAAATACATTTAGTCACCTTTTTTTTTAACCTTTGCATGGAGGAATAAAATCTTGTCGCAATCCTTTGAACCTGACTCCTTGCTTAGCAGCTTTTTCAAAATACAATCATCAGTCTAAAGTGGCAGACAATATCTGCTTGAAAGTTGCACTGAGATATCAGCATGACTGTAAAATTAAGTCAGGGGTAAATGGGTGACTTCTCAGCTCCTAAGTTAGTAAATTTTCTAACTTTTGGAGGAAAATGTCTTCAAATAGCAGCTTATTCTCATTGTTTAGGTATAAGGAAGACGTTTTTTACAATGAGGGTGGTGAAACACTGGACTAGGTTGCCCAGAGAAGTTGTGGCTGCCCCATCAATGGAAGCGTTCAAGGCCAGGCTGGATGGGGCTTTGAGCAATGTGATGTAGTGGAAGGTGTCAGTGCCCATGGCAGGGGAGTTGGAACTAGATGATCTTTAAGGTCCCTTCCAACCCAAACTATTCCATAATTCTATGTCTACTGTGTGCATCTTTGCTTTTAGCAGAAGAACATAGCTTAGGATTGACTTCAGCTAAAAAAAAAAATAAAATTTGATCCTAAACATGCCCGGTTACTAAAATACTAAAGATGTGTAGACATTTTCAGCAGTATATGAAAATGGAATCTCTGAAACTCACTTTGAGATTTTATAAAATGAGTAGTTTACATATGAAAAATATAAATGACTATTTTGTTTTGCTGGATCGGAGTAATCTCTCTTTTCCAATTTATTCCGCACCAGGTTTACAATATATGCAAATGTCCTGATGGAAATTCAGTGTTTCATTATCTAAACCTGTGAACCTCTACTGTTGGGTATTCCTTTCAGTAGATTATTTTTAATTTCCTTTGTTCATTAATTTCCTCTTCTAATTTCCTTCTATTTTATGGATATGTGACTCCTGACTAATTGTCCATTGTATTCTTTCTTTAAGCTGTGAATAACTCAGGAAGAGATGAACCTCTTCTAATGAAAAAGTGTGTCTTAAGTCTTACTTGATGTACGGATTAGTGGGAGACATTAGTGGGAGAGAAAAATGTACTGAGGATGCAAGGGAACTTTTTAAAAAGACTTTTGTCTTGCTGATAATTTTTTCAGGTCTCTTTGGAAATGGGAAAGATTTTTGTCGAGGGTGTTGGGGAAGTGCAGGAGTATGTTGATGTCTGTGACTATGCTGTTGGTTTGTCCCGAATGATTGGTGGACCTGTTTTACCTTCAGAAAGTAAGTATGTGTGTATGTATGTTAGTGGGTTTTGATGGGTTTTTTGTACAAATGAAGAGGTGGAGATGTGTCTTAAATAGGGCAGCAACATCTCTGTACCGTGAGTTATTTAGGGAGCATGTTGTCTTGGAACAGATGTGCTGGTAGGCAGTAGCGCCGCCTCGTGAAGTACCTAGCCTGTAGCAAGAGAGGTGATAGATTCTCTCTGCACTCTTTGAAGCATTAGATTCTGTTTGATTTCTTTGTTACTGAAAGTGTTCTTAGAAAACAGCAGTGTTCTTAGAAAAGAGAGAGCTTTTTGTCAATTATTGGTTAGCAAATAATCACCATTCTGTTATCTGAATAGTTGAAATAGTAAAACTTCATGTTCTCATGTTACTGGGTTTTTCCACAATCTAGCTAACCTTGTACCAGTAAGCTGCAGAGCATATAAAATACAGCTTTTCACAAGCTAGTGCTCTGATGGACAGAGGCACGACGCTAGGCCCCTTGCTTGCGTGGTTTGCTCTTTTAAAAAAAAAAGTTAAATGGGTGCAAATTGCGTTATGTTGTGTCTTTCCCTTCAGGACCCGGCCATGCCCTGATAGAGCAGTGGAATCCCGTTGGGTTAGTAGGGATCATCACGGCCTTTAACTTCCCTGTAGCAGTTTATGGGTGGAACAGCGCAATTGCAATGATCAGTGGAAATGCTTGCCTCTGGTAAGAATAGCTCTCCAACATGCTAACAGTATTTTAAAATTAGAGAGCTATGATCTCAGGCATGAAATTGTTATCGTGTGTCTTATGTTTCTTTATATTTGATTCTGTCTCATGTAGGCTTAATTTCTATTTATTTTTAGATTCACTTGTAGTCAAAGTCTATTCAGGACTTAGACAGATGGCCTGTTAATAAAGAACCCAGGTGAAAGTCTTGTAGCAAAGAGTTGATATTTTCAGCATTGGTACAGCTAAAACTAAGAATCTAAAGAAGTAGCTTTACTTCTTCTCCCAGCTTCTGCTTTGCTTTCATCTACCTGCTTCACTCTAGTCTCTGGCATAGCTCTTTTTCATGTGGATTTCAGTGGGAGCTCTGAATGCTCAGCTGTGGAAAGAAATGCTTAAGTTCCTGTCTTAACATGCATCTGAAAACCAGCCTAACCAAAGTGTGCTGTATTTCAGATACCGTAAAAGCTGCGTATTTGAATTATTTCATATTTCTTATTCTTGAAGAATTGAAAGAAAATAATGTCTATTTTTTTTTCCTTTTTAGGAAGGGTGCGCCTACAACATCCCTCATTAGTGTTGCTGTTACAAAGTGAGTTCTGGTTTCTTTACTTCCTGCTTTGCTTTTTAAACAACTTCTTTTTTCTTTAAGGTAGCACTTAGTAGTCAGAAGAACTGCTTTCCTCTTGTTACCTAAGAAATAACAGTATATATAGGATGTTACCTATACCATTGCCTGTTTTTTTTCTGGGACCACGGATGTCCTTCTGCTGAAGTAGGGCTAGCTATGTGGCTTGCTTCTTTGTAAAAGATGAATTGCTCACAAAATTCAGCATCCCTCAATCACATGCTCATGTTTCAGGATAACCTCTTTTTTTTGGGAGTCTCAGCCCAACATCAGCACTCAGTTTCTTGGCACATTCTTCTGACTGGCTGTGTAGAATCATAGAATGGTTAGGGTTGGA